GGAGAAACATCGAGTATTTGAGCCAAAAAGACGAAGTTCTTGTGAAAATATCGTGTTGTTCAGCAAAAAAGGTGAGGGTCTTCTGCAGAAACATCGAGTCTTGATTTGATTAAGCTTTGTTTAGATAAGAAAAGTAAAAAGTAAACAAAAATCGTTATCACGCTAACGCAGAAGCGGCTCTAGCCATTATATCACTGTTAGAAATGATGAGAGTCGTAAGACATAGAACAACATTCGATTTAAAAAATGAAAAGAGTAAATCTATGTGAGAAGTGAGAGAAAGAAAAGGAAAGAATAAGATATAAAAGGATAAAAGTAGACTAGGGAGCACGAGTCTGTGTGTTTTCCTGGCTTCATTATTTTCTAGATCCACAAAGCGTTGAGAATCGATAATATATTCAATCATAGATTTAGCAAGAAGTAAATAAGTATCTTTATCAAGCGATGCATATAGGCATAGTAGATTCATACACGGAGGACTGCCGTTCAGTACTGGTTAAGTTCCTTGTAGAGACGTGTAACAAGTACAATGAAATAAAAAATGCTCTCTTGATTCAATGTTACCGCAAACACACCATTTAGTGTCTGATAGAGTTTTTGTAAATAGATCAAAATTTAACTGGGAAAATTCTGTTCTCAGCTAGTAATAAACAATATCAGCTTTACGTGGAGCATGGTATGTTCGATAGACAGGCAAGTGCGAATTATTATTTAGTTCGATTTTTAGAGATTTAAGAAAAAGGGAGAGGTTTTGCGATTCGTTTATATCGTGTTTTAAATTATTCCAAGATCGTCGCCGGAAAAAAACTCTTTTCGAAAATATGTCGTTGAGTATATATGTGTTGTACAATAGAACTATTTTTATAACGTGTGGACCACTGATGTGTTGGTTTAGCTGGTACCATTTTAATCGGATAGGAAGGAACAAGTCCTTTTATTATTTTATAAAATAAGATTAGCTTATCTTGCAAGAATAAAGTTTCTAGTGGTGTCCACCCAGATATTTTAAGGTTTTATCTTTATCCGTCAATCTCAATGCTCCACTAACAATTAACGCAGCTTGATATTGTAAGGCGAACAACTCAGTTAAGTAACTATATGTATAAAGACAGTCAGCATAGGTTATTGTTTGAATAAAAAAAGACATATATTTGGTCTAAGACCACTGTTAAAAATTTATATTTAAATGGTTTCATCATATTTAATATTGTAGAACATTTTGTATAAACGCATTTTATATGTGCTCTCCAGGTAAGATCATTTGATAGTATAACACCTAAAAGTTTATGTTCTAAGACAGAATTTAATATTGTTGTGTCAAGAAGAACGGAATTTGTTATAATATTAGAAGACTTTCTGGTAAATAGCATGCATAAACATTTATCAACATTTAGAGGCAGCTGCCGTTTTACTGACCATCTATGCGCTTTTATTAGATCACTATTCATATCATCGACTAATTGATGTCGAGCCTGATTACTCAGATACATTGTGGTATCATCCGCAAACAACCTAATCGTGCAATCTATGTCCTCGCCAAAATCAGTGTAGGTGAAGTACTAATGAAGGCGATGTGAATAGGACTGGACTGAGTGCATCTCTTTACGGGGCGCTTGTGTTAGTTGTGAATGGTGCTGATGTTGCGTTTTTTATTTTGGCTTGAAGTATCGTATTGTCCAATAATGCTTGTACCATTCTCCAAATGTCGTCGTCGATGATTTCTTTTAATGGTGCCATCAGCTTATTTCTAGCTTTATCAATCGTATCGAATGCTCGACTCATATCTATGCCTAGTATGTGTATCAATAGCTCGCCTGGCATTCCGTCATGCCCAGTTGCTCTATTATTGCGCAATTTTTTCACGGCGTCTTTAACTTCTTTATGGCCAATTGGTTTGATGAGTGGTTTTGCTTGTTGTTGTTGTTCTTGTTGTTGTTGTTGTTGTTCGTCTGCATTGGTTGTTGTTGATGTTTTGTAAAATAAACTTTTAAAGTATTTGACGACTATTTCAGCTGCTTCGTCTGGCTGTGCTATCGTGGCGTCTTCTTTTTTTATTATTAGTGCTGTTGGTTTAGCTGTGTTTGGGTTCTTGACTCCTTGGAACGTTTTGGCGTTGTCTTTTAATGCTTCTATTTCTTCCGTTTTCTTATCTATCTCATTTGCTTTCAATTGTTTGAGTTGTTTGCTAAGTTTCTTTTGCACTTTGTTGTTAAAAACCTTTATTTGAGAGAAGGAAGTGTGAAAAGCTTCAGTACAAATAATGAAAAGAAGAAGGCGAACCTATTACATCTTTACATATTGACTGAGGACAAAAGACAGGACAAGAGTACATGATAAGAACGGTACACAACGATAACAAAAAAAAGGCAAAGGAAAGACAACTAAAGAAGTAAAGAGATAGAGAAAGGAGAAAAGAGTGGTAATAATAACAAAGAAGAAATGAACTAGTGGGAAAATTCAAATTTAAAATCTTTGTGTGTCTCTAATAAAACTTATTACAGTCTTATATAACTCATTCATCTCTGTTTCATTTAAGGAAGGTACAGGTTTTTGTTCCGCTTCGCCTTAAGTTGTAGTTTTTTGTCTCATCATTTGTGTTGCTTATTTTTATTTTTAGTTGCTGTTGTTCTTTTGATAGCTGCTCGGTGATGGTGTATTGGTA